TATTCCAAAGTTTTCTCTAGTGCGGTTACAGTTTTTTGCCCCGACCGAACCAATCCACACCGAAAACTGTTTGGCCTTTTCCATTTCAGAAACAGGGCCAACTGACTGTCAGTCACGCCGACTTCGCCTCTGAACATTATCAGAAATCGGTGCTTCGATCAAGCAATTTGGCCATAAATCAAAGCGCAGGCAGATTCGCGAGACGAGCGACGATGAATTGGAGAAATTCTTAGTTCAGTTCAAAACGAAAGAACACCCGAGCTGATCACCATTGTTCTACCGTTTGTTCGGGTTTACTGGTTTTTTTTCAAATTTTTGGCACTCGCAGTCGAGATTTGTCTTGCTTTTATTTCATCCGGTCTGATAACACTGAAACTTGAGGTTGGTTGTACACCATCAATGCAGATACTAATGTCATGGGCTGGCTGCATACTAACCAACAAACGGTCTAATGGGGCTTAGACAGGAAGCGAGCAATCAAATTGTATCTCAAACGAAACCAGTTGTCCACATGTTCGCTTTGGTCACGAAACATTGACGTTCGACTGCGTGGATGTGAGACTGTAAATCGCCTGGTGGATCCTGCGTATACAGACGAATTTCAAATAAAACCAGTCCAGTATAATTGGTTTTCATTTGTTATACGTTGTATTCGGGGCGGAAATCATTTTAAAGCGATAAGAATAATCCAACAAAAATGTGCGGTTTTGTCTGAACTTATGTATTTATTGTCTTACATTCTTGAAATGCTAAAGCTCATCTGAAGACAGCACACAATAGTCTGTTGCATTTGCTGAGTGCCGCAAGGTGGGACCAGGAGCTTTCTTATTCCATAGAGTCCGTCATACATTGTACTTTTTCTGTTTTCATTCTGAGGTGTGTTCACGAACTACCAGTACAACCGTACCACACTGGGTCATTCTTATTCCTGTTGGTATATTTGAATTGTCGAATTACACATATACAAAAGAAAGGTCTGGTAACTCTGAGTTCCTACGTTTGCTTGTAAGCATGTGAGCACAGTGGCCAGTGCTACTCACTCATCGATATCAGTAGCATTGGCGACAAGATAGACGGTGAGGCGAGTGAGTTACCTGAACATTAGAAATTAGGCCAAACAACTGCCTAACCACCAGGAAACGTTTTGGATGATATGAATAATGCTCATTGTCTATCAATGGTTCTCCCTTTATAGTCTTCAGGAAGGGTCATGCTAACCTACCCAGAATGAAAACAGTAGTTTTTTTTACAAAACACGACTTATCAAACGTTGCAATATAGACAATCGACCAGCGAGGAAGAAAAATAAATCTAGTAAAATTCACTCACCTTGCAGTAATATGGGATCACTTGAAAAATATAATTCCACGCATCCCGTTGGTGGAAAACGCATATCTGGTGAGATAGACAGGATAGAAAACCAGAAACTATGAATTTTCAGCAACCTTGTGAGTAGTTTCCTGTGTGAAAATACACTGCGATATATCGAATATCATGCCAGCTGAAGCATGAGGCGGCCTGTGTGCAGCACATTCAGTTGTAGAACATCATAAACGAGGGATTCATTTAAGTCTCTCGTGAAAACCAAATCAACTTGCAAGTGAGTGTACTTCTCGAAAACAGTACAGTTTGGGTTCGAATGGAACATAAGTTTGACGAAAACTCGGGTACAGCGCCAACCTGATGAGCCCGAAGCGGGAGGGCGAAACCGGTCGTGGGCTGCCAAATAGTTCTCAGCAACCTTGTGAGTAGTTTCCTTTATGAGAATATGAGGTCACTCATTCATAAATCATGCAGTCAGTTTGCATTATTTCCTATTACATTCTACAGTTTAACTTTGGATTCATCCTTTTTCTTCATCATTATCAAAAAGACAGAGAGATTATAGTAGGTATCTCTGAGATTTGCTGAATTACTGTCCACAACACAATGCTTTGAACGGCAACGAACGCCTTTCTACGTATCACATCAGAAAATGGAAGATGAATCGAAATCCCCATCCGTCCGAAAAACCGCATGTACTTTGAAAGTTGAAGCTTGTAATTTCATCTTCTCAGGGAGTCATTTTCCAAAATGTCTTTGGGTCTTGGCGTGTTCCACCGGAAATTCGTTATAAATTTTATAAATGTACATATGTGTCACATCCGACAGGACAAGGTCCGTCTGTCACGCCTGATGTCTATGGTTTGGATTCAGACAAACTCCAGGATACACTGTCCGTCAGTGACATTTGGAATGGATGCATATCTGTCACAATCTCAAGAATGCGACTACCGTCATACTCCGGAACACTGAACTTCCGCTTACTTCTAGGTGTCTAGAAGTCGTTCATTCGTCCAACCTAGGTGCAATGCGACTTCATTATTCCTACATTCTTTCAAGACTGGAACCCATATTAACTATCTTTCTTTGCTGTGAAGACCTGTCAAGACATTGGGGAATGTCTAGGTTAAATGCAGCTCAAAGGAGCTTCTAAGGGAGTCGAGAAGCCCTCCGCCGTACTAGTGAGTTCATGAATTTTTGGAAACTTCCAACATTTTCCAGTTCATTTAAAGTCTTTCAACACAAATGGTTCATCAGCAGTTGTATAAATTTTAGATACCAGTGGATTATTGGAGTTAAATTAAAACGGTGATCATTATAACATTATAACATTATAACTAGGTGAGAGGAATTGGCGAAGGAAGTGGTTTGACTGGGAACAGAAAAACTCAGTGTTCCTTATGCGGACAAAGCGTCCACAGTGAGCGGTTCTTTGAGTTCTCACATCGCTTTCTTGTTTCACCGTCTTTGCTAAAGGTCCTCCACAGAAACTGACTTGTTCTGGGAACATTGTCATGGATAAGTTTGCTTTGACCGATTAAACAGTAGGGCAAAATTTTCGAATGGGATATGATGTTATCTTTTACAGTCGTCTTGGTAACTTGATGATCTATATATACTTGGCATTTTTGGGTTTTTCACCGAGTTTTCCTGACCTTCACCGACTGATCCAAAAGGCACTGTCTCAACTCGTAGTGAAATACGTAGACAACTGTTGTAGGTGAGAGCTTAAATCCTTCGAAGTGCGTGCACTGTTGTCCTAAGCTCATGGAAAGTTCACGAACAAAAGTATCATAAAAGCAGTATTGTATCACGCATCTCCAGTTTCAAGAAGTTTCCCGTGACTAAACTTTATGAATACAAACAGTTATTCCCTTGTTGTTTTTCGTTCCTACGGAAATGCAAGCTATCTTTCTGATGGATGTTATTAAAATATCTGAAGATGCATATGTACCAGCCTCATTCGAGCGATTCTCAAAGTAAGACTGAGCTGGAAGTATCCCCTTGTGCAGCGTGTTTGTAATTGCACAGAGCGACTTCACGTGCATGGTCGAGTTCCGTGTAAGATTTGGCACTGTACTGATGCTACAAATCAGCGCTATTTCCGTCGAGTTATTTATATCATATTTATTTTATTCCTCTCCACTTCCCACTGAAAGGGTTACTTTGGCAACCGTTGATACCCAAAAATAAGGTGATTGTCTTGTTTCATTTTACGTAAAATATGTACCAACTAGGCACATTCAACCCCGTTTTTGTTTCACCTGTGTGATGATCAAGGCCAATATCTGAATTTTCATTGGCCCCCGAAAATTCGCGGTGACCTTGAACTCGGTTTCGATCGTTGATTTTACAATCAGTAGGAATGAGTGACTCAACCGCAGTGTGCATGCCGGGCAACATTTATCTTGTCTACAACATACTCGTTAGGACTGAAAAAATTCTCTGCTGATAGATTCAGTTGACAGTAAGCAATCCATCTGGAATTAACAATTTCGTCGACGGAACGGGAAAATTGGGCAAGTAAAACTCTTGAGCTGTGGGATGTCGGACAACTACTTTGGGCTTTGCTATTGAGTCTTCACAGGTAGAATCAGAGCATGTACTAAGAAGACGCTCTCTTCGAGTTCGCTTTGTATTGTGTAAGAGTTTGAGCAAAGTCTGACACCCTGCATTTAAGGTGGCTGACAGTCAAAGTTACTTTGGAAGAGTACGTTGAAGTGGTTGGTACTCCAGAAGTACAACTTGGTCTGTGCAACAATGGATCATTCAAAAGAACCGAGACTGTGTGCCTTGTTGTTTGTTTCCGTCTAAGAAAACCAGACAGTTTTGGTGAAACAAGATGAAAACTCTGTGAATACATACTTTTTTTTAAAAACTAAACAACGCCTTCTCGTGTATTTACGGATACCCAAAAAGGTTGCAAGCCACTTTGTATACACTAAGCAATTATGGTTACATGCTGTATAGGGTGGGGGTGCATTTTGCAAGTGTTACTATTCCATCCATTTCAGAATTAAGGAAAAGAGATGATTGATACACGAGAAGTAACTGTTATCTAATGGATGAAATCCCTGATTAGGGTTGGTAAATTCGTTGAGGAGTTAAAGTAGGCAAACGATGCTCTTAGGTAACCGAAAAGGGGGACAAAACATCGGTTGGTTTATCTACCACATCAAACCTGGAAATTTCCACTTACGGAACAGAAGAAAAACGAAAAAACATTACTTACCACTGCAAGCTTCGTCCAAATCATGTTTATAGAAATTCATTCTCCCATTGCTGATTGCACACGTGTGGAACTGCAACCTTGATTGAACACACACACACAGAAATTTTCACTTACGGAACAGAAGAAAAACGAAAAAACACTACTTACCACTGCAAGCTTCGTCCAAATCATGTTTATAGAAATTCATTCTCCCATTGCTGATTGCACACGTGTGGAACTGCAACCTTGATGGAACACACGCACACACACACACACAGCGAACAGAGAAAATAAAGGCATTTTTCAACCAACGAATTTACATTGTATATGGTCATTGTACGAGTAAGCTACAATTCAGCGAACCAATTAAGGGAAGGGGCGGTCAAGGCTAGTGCTTTGCTTATGGATGCACAGGCGATTGAGATAGTCAACTCTTTCGGTTTCTGGGCAAAATATTCGTTTTCGCCATTTTCTAGTGAAACGATTTCCGGGGTTGATGAGACCTGCTTGCATCAAAGATTCATGTAAAGTACTAGCCGTCGGTTTTGTAATTGAGTCACCAAGCCAGTTACAATGTAAGATGAATGCTTAATCAGAGACCCCAATGTAGCGATCCATAACTTGGCTGAAGGGTGGAAGAGCGGTTATGTCATTCAAGCCGGTTTTTGACATTGCCACTTCCGGGCCAGTCGAAACTGTGTTCACCGGCATACATGAACAACAGGCGAAGAGAAATTGACACGGTATGACTGTTTTAATGGGAGAATGCAAATTACAAGACCCAAAATGTATGATTCCTCAACGAATGATCTATAGTATCAGAATAAGATAATGACAGTCATTCAGCGTCCATTGAGGCTGAAGCATTTGCTTTCCACTACAAGTGGTCCTCTGCATTGAGTGTACAAAGCAAAAGGGTTTAAGGGATGAAGAGACCTAATCGTACTCCTCGCCAATTTGAGAAGAGCCTTGTTCACTTATGGTCCGAGGA